TCCACTTGACGCTACAAACGCTTCGAAGCGTTTGAACGACCAATCAGAACAAAGAATTTTACGAATTGACTAATCAAAGAATGCTTCGAAGCGTTTGTAGCGTCAAGTGGATCGCAGCTTGAGACATTATACTGTCTCTATGGTAACGTGCTTGAACAAGAGGGGGGATTGATTGCCCTGGTTCCGGCTGATTCCGGCTCATGTCTCCAGAGGGCTATTCTGTAGCTTTTAACGACGTTCGATATCGTTATATTGTTGTTGCGCAGCTTTTTCATCATGTAAAATACTTGCGCAACAACATCCCTAGCTAGTAAAATTGTCGTTAAAAAGTTACAGAATAGGCCTACTGGTCTCCATTCTGCCCAACGCTAATGTAAATTCATGGTGGAAGTACTTCCACCATGGTAAAATCGTTCGTCCTGTTCTGTCAGAAGAAAAAGAGTTTTTGAAGCTCATGTTATAAAGAAAAGTGAGGTTTTGTTATTTTAATTGCATCCAATCATTGCTGCATAAAAAGAGTAGATTAACAAGTCGGAAAGCATGTCTATGCTTGCGGAGCGCCGGCAAAAGCAAAAATGGACCCTCAATCCACGGGGAAAGTGGTGGACCGAAGGTGAATATATATTTATATACATATATATATATATTTATTTGGTAATTATAATGGTAAATTATAACTATATGGAAAATAATTAGTGTTTTTAAAGCAGAAAATTTATATTTTTAAAACAGAATTTGTTTTCAAAACAAAGAATTTCTTTTTGAAGCAGAAAATTGTGCTTATAAAACAAAGAATTTGTGTAACTCTCTATGTCATTGATGTGACAGATGTTCTAACCTGAATTAATCGATCTACAGGGCAGGGCGACACTTTTTTGTCAGATTCATTCATTTCGTGCAAAAACGTCGAATAAGCCTAATTTTATTGATTTTTTAAATACTATAGCTAAACTGTGTAATATAAAATATAATATAAAATTAATATAAAATATAACTGTTATAAAAAAGCTGTGAATATGAAGAGTTTATTTTTCTGATGACTTATAAGTTACCATTATATGTTTGAATATTGCATCCATTATACACAAATTTGTAACTTTGATTTGTATTTTCTGTATTAATATGTTGACAACTTTATTAATAGACTCCAACAAATTTGGCCAGAAAATGTTGGAGAAGATGGGTTGGACGAAAGGAAAAGGACTCGGCATTAACGAACAAGGCATTACAGAATTTTCTAGTATATCGTACAAGAATGATATAACTGGTAACTAAAACATTTATAATTTTTACATAGAAGCTAATTATTTCGTAGGTGTTACACTGTTAAAAAAAATATAATGGAAATAAATTTCAAGCAGGTACATGAAAAATATTTAATACTGCTAATAAAAATGAAGTTATAAGTAATTTAAATATAATGTCTATTAAATTTCGTGCAAATCCATTTAATAGAAAGTACACTAAATTTCATAAAATTTTATGAAAAGTACACTAAGGATACAATCAATTCGATACTACAAACGTTCTAAAGCAATTTTTGATTGATCAAATTTACAAAATTCTTTCTTTTAATTGGTCAATCAAATGTTTTAAAGCATTTGTAGTGAGACTGACTGCAGCCACAATTTCATGTACATGTACTCAAATATACTTTTCAATTATAAACACAAAATTTAACGTAATGTCATGAAATTGAATCTAATTTGTGTAACTTAAATATACATTAAATTTCATGACATTTTTAACAGTGAATATTTAAGTAGAATCTTATTTCCTTTCTAAAGGTTTAGGATATGACAAAAGTTTTGAGGCATGGACTGAATATCAAGAGAAATTTGGAAACTTTTTGCAGCAGCTTAATGAAAATCAAGATCAAGTTGCTGTTGAAAAGTTATTAGACGCGGATGCTAATTTCAATGACCAGTCTATTGAACTGAAATCTAAACAAAGTCATGCTCGTGTACAGTAAGCATGTTAATTTCTAATTTCTATAAATATAATATATAAATATAAGATATGTATACACTCAGATTTAGACAAAGTTGTAATTTTTGTGTTTAAATATATTTATATGAATATACTAATATTATATTTTTTAATGAAAATACCAATAAATGTTTCTTATTATATGATTTAAAAAATATATTAATTTATTTGCAGTTACAAGAAGTTTACGCGCGGCAAAGATGTAAATAGATACAAATCAAAAGATTTGGCAAATATATTTGGCCAAAAAGAATTAATTGAGAAAACTCAAGTCATAATAAAAAAAAATGATAGTATCTGTGAAAAAGACGTCGCTGATGTCAGAGACGATTGGTATGGAGTCAACACAATTAATGGCGGTAACATGGTCGACTACTTTAAACTTAAGTTAAATTGTAATAATATGACTGATTACTTGAAATATAATGTAAAGCCAAAAAATGATACGAACTTGTCCAGTATAACTGATAATCGAACAACCGATTCTGAAAGTGAAAACGACCAACACATTGGTTTCGGATTTACATCAAAAACAGAAGATACATCAGTGTCTAATTATGGAGCGTTAAAAAACTCTGATGATAAGAGCAATTATGCTTTTGATAATCCTTGCTTGAGATTGAATAGTTCGGTAGAAACTGCTTGTAATACCAATGACTCTTCTGTAAAGTCTATAAAGAAGAGAAAGAAGGATTTTGAAGATAATAATTCGTATACCATTGAAATAGATAAAAATATCAGAAAAAAATTAAAAACTGAAACTATTGATAATGATTATAAAAATAGTTTTATTAATCCAGCTCTTAATCTAGACACAAAATCTGAAGAGGATTGTAATGGCAAGGAATTTGAAGTATTCAGAGCACAGTTTGGCCTTGAAAATTGTGGTTTAGATCTGACGGACGAAAGAAACAAGAAACGCGTAACATTTAACGATCATGTCATGTTGTACAAATATAATATAAATTCTACTAAGAAGAAAAAGAAAGGAGAAGCCACGTTGGATAAATTTGAAGTTGAAAATAAGAAGAATAAAAAGAAACAGAAACACAAGAGCACTGCGACTTCTACGATGAACGGATTTGTTAACGAAGCGTTAGATATACTAATATTATCCGAAAAAATTAATGATAATGAGTTGAATAAACACAAAAATAAAAAAAATAAGAAGAGGAGGATAAGTAAAACGTCTAATCTGGAAACGATACAAGAGTCACCAGAAAAGGAAATTGAGATCATTATGGAATCAGAAGATACTTTAGAGTCTAGTATTGTTGAAAATGGGGAAACAGACAATGTGGAACAAAAATCGAAGAAAAAAAAGAAGAAAGACAAAAAAGGAAAAAGAGCCAAAGTTGAAAATATTATAGTACTTGATACCATAAACGAAGAATCAGATATTGAAATTGTAGAAGTAATTAGTAATAAAAAGATCCTAAAAATTAAAGACAGTAAAGAAGAAGAAACGGTAATTTCTAAGAAATATAAAAAGAAAAAGAAAAAAGATAAGAAAAATGGCAAGAATAAGCATATTCAAACTGAAATAAACAATGATCAACAAGATATTAAGATATTGGATAAATCAAACTCAAAACAACAACAAAATGATTATTTAATCGAGTGTGAAAATAAGACTACAGTAATAATTGAAACATTGCAGTGCACAGTTCCTGTGATTAAAAAAGAAAAACCATTAGAAAAAACTAAACAAAAGAAGAAAAAAAGAAAAAACATAAACAAAGAAGAGTGTTCGAGTGAAATTAATGTATGTAATATAGAGAGGGAAATTTCTGATAAGGAAAACGCTGACGAAGAACAAACTTCAAATACCAAAAAATTAGCAAAAAAGAATAAAAAAAGCAAGAAATTAAAAGATAAGAATGTATCGGACGTAGAAGATTCTTCCAATCCTAACGAAGAAGTTGTAGATCTAAATGTTACAAAACAGGACAAGATAGAAAATACGGAGTTTACTGATACACCTTCAAAAAAGGGAAAAGTTATTAATGCTATCGACAATATAATCAATAGTCCATGGAGTATAAAAGCAAGGATGCAAAAGAAAATGCTAATAACACTTTTCCATAACAATGCAATATTAGAATTCCCAGGTTCTAATATTCACAATATAAAGGGATATGGTATAGATGTTGAGAGCGAGCAATAATATGTGGAATAATTTTGGTAATGAAACATGTTTTGTAACAAATGATAAATAGTCTCTGGTTGAGAAGAAGCTTGAAAAGAATTTTATATTTATAATTATGTAATTATAACAAAAATATAAAGTAACAACAGAATTAAAAATTCAGTACGTCAAAGAATCAAAGGACTATCATGAGCCAACGCTGGATGTTAAATGCAGAAATAACAGTCGTGATATGATTCCTCTTAAAAAAATTAATCGTTTACGAGACATATATAATATTTCGTCTCAATATGTACCAGATTAAAATATATATTTCGTAAATTTTTTAGAATAATATTATTCTGCATATAAAAATATTAAGTTAGAGATATCAAAAAATTTACGAAATATATATTTTAATCTGGTACATATTGAGACGAAATATTATATATGTCTCGTAAACGATTAATTTTTTTATAATCGTACCTTAATTCTTTTGTGAACAGAATAACGAGATGAATTGATGTAAAAAAATACATAGTTTAAAAATACAAAGATACTTAATATATATATCTATAGGCAAAATGCATAATTTTTTAAATAAGCACCTTATAAGTTTGACATTAAATGCATTTATATAAATATACATATATATGTGTATATATATATGTTTAAATAAAATTATGTACTGTAATTAATATGGATTGATTTTAAATAATAGAAAATTATTTCATATTGACAAAATTTTTGAATTTTATATTATAAGGTGAAATTAAATTTATTTACAGCTGTATTTATTTGATTGATAATGTGATTTCAATAAAGTGATTTTTTAGATAACAAATAGCTTGAAGTATATTTTATATTGTTCAAATTTTTGAAAATATATAAAAAATTTATACAAAATTTATATTTTCTGAATTTTTTAAATAGTTCTTTGATTATAATTATATCAAATGTATAAGTGATTGATATCTTTTTTATTATTTACATATATATATTTTTTTGTGCTAAAATATAAATTAAGCTAAATTATCATGTATCTTACTGACATCTTCTAAGCTCAAAACTTTCTCGTGGATATAAGAAACAGCTTCTAAATCTGATTCATTTAATTTTATTATAATTCGTGGTATATAATCTTCTTCTGCTGAAAGTACACAGTATTTACGATCTTCTAAAAGACATTTTATTTTGTTTAAAAGTTTCGGATCGCATTTAAACTGTAACAAAAAAAAAACAGTAAATAAATTGTAATTTTTTTCCATATGCATATACAAATATATTATATATGTTCTTCGCCACATATTTATAGTAAAAAATTTTATTTATAATTCTTTAGAAAGTAAGTGTTTGTTGGATACCTGGAAATATTCCATATCATTTTCCATGAATTTCTCTACATCTTCCGCACCAATGTTAATAGCATCCTCCATAGCTTGTTCCAAATTATCTTTCTTTTCAACTATGATACTGCCTGTATGAATAAACATGTTTTTGACAGAAGTATTCGTAGCTTTTCCTCTAAATAATTAAAAAATATTAGATGAGAGATATACATTTTGGAATATTTAATTCATGCCTTTTATAATTGTATATAAAAGAACCATATATTGAAATACAGATTATTATACAGAATGAGTCAGTTAAAATGTTACCGATTTTTATCGGAAACAAAGCATTTTCGAGAGAAATGTTTCACACAAATAAAAGTTATATGGTTTAGAGGAGGTATGATAATGTGCCGTTGGTTTGACCTTGGGGAGTTATTTAAAGATCACGTAAAGGTCATCATCAATTTCTTAAACCTCAATTTCTGGAACCTCATATTTCATTACTTATTCATATATCTTACTTCGAGAGCTTTCCAAAACACTCTATATAATAAAATATTTTTTCATTAAGTGCTTTTCAAATTATAAGGTATGAAAGTTACAGTGCCGCCGGTATTAGCATTACCTAAGATGTTCGACCGACGATTAAAATTTCTTGAATGTTGTTTAAGATCATGATCTAGATAACATTTATCAAGATCATTGGAGGTTCGTCTTATTTTCATTTTTGCACATTCATTTTTACGTAAAAATGAAAATAAGAGGTACAATCTCCAATGGCCTTGATCTTGACAAATGTTATCTAAGTCCTGAACAATATTAAAGAGGTTTTAGTCATTGGTTGGACACCTTAAATAATGCTAATATCGACGGCATTGTAACTTTCAAGCCTTATAACGCCAAAAGTACTCAATAAGAAAATATTTTATAATGTTTTAGAAAGCTCTCCAGGTAAGCTATTAAAATAGCAATGAAATATATAGGATTCCATTTAAGAAATTGATGATCTTTATGTGATCTTCAAACAACTTCGCAAGATCAAACCAATAGCACCATCGTATGTCCCCCTCCAAACAACTTCTGTATGAAACATTTTTCTCTAAAATGCTTTGTTTGCGAAATATAAATCTGTAACACATTAATTGATTTATCTTGTGTAATAAAGTAAATTTTTTTTTCAAATATTCTAAGATATTAGGCCTCTTTTTTTTTAGCTAAACTTCTTGCACAGTTCATCTTTGCTCTTTTCCTCTCTTCGTTGAAGAAAAAAAAATGGTGCAAAGAGTTTAATTAAGAAAAACAAGTTTAATATTTTGTATAACATATTTCGAATATAGGTACTTTTACATGCTAGAAATATACCATATTGTTCATACTTGGTTTTTTTAAGTTTTGAATTAAGCTCAATTAGGAATGCCTTGGGTTTATCCGTTATATAACATACAAGCATGACGTAGCCATTTGGTCCACGAACTTCTGTTACACCTGTTTGAGTCTTGTTTTTCCGTGCCTCCATTTTTTCGAGCAAAGACTTTATTGATGCCACAGGCATGTTTGCTTTTTTAGCTCGTTCAATGACTTGTGATAATTTTAAATTATTACTTGGGTTTGCAGTGCCACCCTCTAAAAAAATAGTTTTCTTTTTCACAATCACATACTAATACAACTAAAATTACATAAGCAAAACAAAATTTAATATTTGATCCAGAGATTCGATCATGGTATTCTTACGTATTTTGATGCTCTGAAACCGAATTTGATATCCAAATTACAATTTTTTTTATCGTTGGAAAACAGCTTGATTTTTCTGTATTTTTAGAGCTATTTATGGTCTAGTTTTCAATATACTTGATGTAAATGAGAGAAAGTAAGTTCAATGATAATATACAAGCTTCTAAAGTTAATGCAAGTTATATGCAAGTTAATAGGTTAAATATATTGAAAAATCAAACTATTTTCCATCGAAAAAAATTGTGACATGACGGAGCGATCTTCCACATTGGATTCGGTTTTACAGCGTCAAAATATATAAAAATACATAAAATATTTTAATCTCCAATTAAAAAAAATTTTGTGTGCCTATATTATTATTCGTTGCAATAAAATTAAATGCACCTTACAGCAAATATACATACAAAGTACATTACAAAAATATATTCAAATGCAGCTATTAATCACGCAAGTAAAATCTATTATGTTTCGTATATAGGAGTTTATTTTAATAAATATCTCATAATAAACATTACATTATACCTTGTATTGCAACCATCATTCGTGCCTTCAGATGATGGAACAGTACCATCCGTCTGTTATCATTTTCTTCCTTTGTATGCTTTATATTCTGCCATTTGCTATGACCGGCAAATCTTTTACTGTTTTTAGGCAAAATATAAATAAGTCTATTGAGCAGTAATTTGTTCAACGCTTGTGTCATTTTTGGATAGGGTTATGATATGCGTAGCAGACGACAAGGTTTTAAGTCTGTTCGCTTTTTGGACGCAACAAACGTTAAGCAGCGGAACAGCAACCAACCAGCGAGGCGATTTTTTACGCCACTGTAAATATCGCCCCTCTGATTGGTTGCTTCTCCGCTGCTTGACGCTTGCTGCGTCCAGTGTGAATTAGGCATTAGGCATTACTGCGTCCAGTCTGAGCTAGGCATAAGTTAAAGGTGTCTTATTTCCACTTGCTGATATTCGACGCTTTTTAACATCAAAACAAGTCTCGTGATTCAATTCGACGTTTGATATTCGTCAATTTTTATCATGTGACTTGTTTGATGCTAAAAATAAACGTCAAACGTCAACATGAAAAGGCACCTTAATCTTTGCAGTGCTCGCGAATCTCGCGAAATGGCGGCCATGTTGATTTCGCGCCATTTGAAGCTTGAAGTGAGATCGCTCCGTGTCTCTTTCGTGTTTTTCGTCGGAAAAAAGTGAATCGCGTAGAAAAAGAATTAGTGTTCCTATAATAAGAGTTAATACAATGAGGTCGCGACTATTGATTGATTGCCTAAATCCGCCATACGTAACAGGTTAGTCAAGACAAACGTGAATTTTAAATATAGCAAAATTCACAATGGAGTCGCAAACGTCACAGTAGTCGGGAAGAAAATATGTCATTGTAGATTGTCGTAACAAAGTAATACGTGTTACAAACACTGCTTTCCATTTGATGAAACAAATCGACACAAGCGTCGTTCTATCTTTCTTGACATTCAGAGAGTGACAGATAGAACGACACTGAGTGCTTTCCAGCAAGGACACAGTCAGACACTGTGTTACACAGTGTCTGACTATGTCTTTGCTGGAAAGCACCCAGTGTTTATGTCCTTGCTGGAAAGCAAGCTGTGTAACACAGTTTCATCCTTGTTATTTGCCAACGTTAAACAAGGATGAAACGACTCACTGTGTTACACAGTGTCTGACTATGTCTTTGCTGGAAAGCACCCAGTGTTTATGTCCTTGCTGGAAAGCAAGCTGTGTAACACAGTTTCATCCTTGTTATTTGCCAACGTTAAACAAGGATGAAACGACTCACTGTGTTACAGTGTCTAAGTCCTTGCTGGAAAGCACCCACTTGTGTCGACTGTGGCTACGTTTACACCGTGCGCTTAGTCCGCGACCTATACGATAGGTGTCTTTGTTTAACCTACAAGATAAACAAGGACATCTATTGTATAGGTCGCGGCCTAAATGAACGGTGTAAACGTAGTTAAAGATGATATGATCACTCTCGCGCTGTTGGAAGGCACACTTTGACTGCTTTCCTTTTAGGAGACTATGGCTACGTTTACACCGTGCGCTTAGTCCGCGACCTATACGATAGGTGTCTTTGTTTAACCTACAAGATAAACAAGGACATCTATTGTATAGGTCGCGGCCTAAATGAACGGTGTAAACGTAGTTAAAGATGATATGATCACTCTCGCGCTGTTGGAAGGCACACTTTGACTGCTTTCCTTTTAGGAGACTATGGCTACGTTTACACCGTGCATTTAGGCCGCGGCCTATACAATAGATGTCCTTGTTTATCTTGTAGGTTAAACAAAGACACCTATCGTATAGGTCGCGGACTAAGCGCACGGTGTAAACGTAGCCATTGTTTAACATTGTCAAACAAGGATGTAACGATCTATTGTGTCACATCGTGTCATTGCTTGTGTCGATTTGTGTCATCAAATGGAAAGCAGTAAAAAACATTCGCATATCATCATGACTATATTCTACTGTGACATCATATTTATGATAAAGCGGACATTTGCACGTCACCATGACGTAATCATGATTATTGATGACGTAACTGTGACGTTTGGGTGCATTCTGTTTCATGCATGATGAGCGTGATGCATCATTTATCCTTGTTCACCGAATGTTAAACAAGGATAAATGATGCATTATGCACATTATGCATAAAACAGACTGCATCCTTTATACTATGGGAATAATATTTAAAAGTAAAAAAAATAGGACAAAAGTGTTATACATACGTAATTATTAATACTGTAATCAAAGACAATGCTATTTTCTTATTCTGATACAACTGATATTAATAAATATTTAACCTTATATTTTGTATATCTTTGACAACGTCATACATGCATAGGCAATTCATTACATTTAAGACTATATAGGGTGAATGCATCGTCTGTGGCCATCTCACAAGCATTTATATAACTTTAAAAAATTTTTTTTTAATAATACATAAAAAGGAGATGCTATTTACTTAAATACATTGTTTAATGTCTTGGTGTTTAATATTCAAAAAAGTTTTAAGGAAGAAAGCGAATGTATAATGAAAAAGTTAAATAGTTGCAAAAATTCCATTTTACACCATTTTTAGCCATCTATATACCTGCTATCATTACGAGGCTGATTACTAATTACTTGATGGTTACTAATATTGTCTGCTATACTTGTGTCGTATGTAGTTATTGATAAATTATTCTACTTATTGCGGGGATTCTTATCGTTTTTGACAAGATAACTGTGTCTTGTATTCCGTAGAAAATAATTTTTTTATAATATGAAAGAGGAAACGTGAGGTTACTTGTCACATTATTAAACAAGGGAAATAATTGCGACGCGCATGTGTCGTGGTTGCTGCGCACTAGAGCCAACCAAAACTAGAAGAACCTAATAAACAGCGAAGGTGGCCAAAATGGGTGCATTCACCCTACTGTAATATAGTTTTCAGTTAAATCATTCATTACTTTTCAGTTACCTCATGACCACAAACTTCCCCGTTAAGGCGTGTTCAGATTCTTACCCGGGTGCTCCCCGGGTATCATGTCATCCTTGTCTAACGTTCGGAAACAACAAGGATACCTGGGTGACACTCTGGTAGGAATCTGAACTCAGCATTACATATTACTTTTCATTTCTAACAGTGTATAGTTAATATGTATGCACTATAGATTTTCACTGGCAGTAAATTTTGGAACAGCCATAATTTAATATTTTGATCCCAGACATAAAATCCAAAATCGAGACTCAAGACGAACGTTTTTAGGATAATTTTTTTAAATCTGTCTGAAAATATCTCGAATGGCCCAACAAAATTATTTTCAAATTTGTATATAGCTAAATTTTTAGCTACTTCAGCAAAATTGTTTTTGCGTATAACAATTATAATAACGCAGTACTTTATTAAAGTATTATTTTTTGTCAAATTGACCAAGAATAAAAATTATTCTATATTTTTTCAATATAAATTTCGCCGAAAACCATGTTGAATTTGTATCCTTCTTTGCAGTTGTCTATTATGACAAGCATAAATATAATAAGAGACCGACCGTGTATTAAAGTTTATTAGAAGTTTTACTTTGAGATAATTACTGAACGTAATTAACTGCAGCGTCCCTTCCTTAGACTTACAGAAAAAAAGAGAAATCAATTTTGTCCCCGCATCAAAGAATTCACCTCGTGAATTTGCTATTTGACACAGCAGTGACAAACAGAAATAAGACTGCATGGAGTAAAAGTTTATTTACACATCTTTTTCCCTCAGGTTAATCACTGGTGGTGTGGCACGGGAATCAAAGGGAACAGTGCGGCGAACCCCATCCACACAGTTTCAAAGGAACCAGCGGCTACAAAATTAACACGATTAGACTGGCGGTGGACTCGCTCGGGGGTAAGTAAAAAGAATGGCATCGAACGATCGAGTCGACTAAATTTAGAAAGTCGAGGGTGAAGGCGCTTAACAAACCGGTGGAGGATCGATATTTAGTTCGTGTAATCTTCATCTTAGAGGTCATAATGGGCCTTGAAAAATTGTCGGTTTTAAGTACGCTGCTATCCCAAATAGCACAGAGAGTTCGAAAAGAATTCAATCATATGTCATTAATTCTAAGTTCATTTTTAGATGTAAAAAGAATTCTTTTTCTGAAAAGTTCTAAAAAGAATTCTTTTTGCATCTGAAAATGAACTCAGAATTGATGATATATGACTGAATTCTTTTTGAATGTTCTGTGCTATCTGAGATACTAATATCAGATATGAATATCAGAGTCATTAAACATGTAATGTCTTTAACACATCTTTATATCTTTTGATATTCATCTGTAAATTTTATTGATATTTTTCTCTTTGATATTCATCCGTAAATTATCGAAATTTGTAATCCGTTAATTGTAATGGTCTTTTGTAATATATTTATTTAATGAATATGCACGATAATGTGAAAGCGCGTATGCACTATTTCAAATGTACGTATTTCATTATCGTTATTTATATAATTTCCTTCGGCACGTATTATTAATAGTCACAAATAATTTAATACGATCTATTTAAGAACGAGCTATTGCGCTCGTCGGGTTAACTTACCTGTAACGTAATAGATGGCTGAAGCTTTAATTTATTACAAGTTTATCCTCAAAGTTTAATTCACCAGAATCTTGATTTCGAATAGTAATTGTAATTTGAATAGTAACTTGATTTTGAATAGTAACTGTAATTAGATGTTGGTCGATCTAAATTTCAGGATCAATATTATTTTTTATCATTTTTATATATATTATATTTCTTATTTAATAATACTCTTGAGGCTTCCACGGGCACTTTCTAAATTATGCATTTCGCGCAATACATTATCAGGCTGCTCCTCGCCCTGATGAAGTGAACTGCAATGTTCACAAAACGTTGGCATTGTAAGAGTGGATTGAACACAGATAACCCACGAAACGCACAATTTCTGTATTTCTTATTTAATATGTGTTATCCTATTATATATTATGCATACATATTAATATAATATATTCGAATTGTAATGATATCGTGTACCATTTCATTAGTAAATTACGCGACAAACTTGTGTACCTACTGTTCCGTCATCGTATTAGTAAAGTTAATTAATAGTCAAGAGTGTATATGTATGTCCGATCAATCATTCTTCATCTCATCAAATCGTTAGTCATTCGAGATGGGTCATAAGTGCTCGACTCTGGTTACAAGTAATGGAATAATAACGACC